GACTGTCTGCATTTACGTGGGGCTGAAGTTCCTGCAGGGTGGAGGTGCTGGTAAGGACTGCTGGGAAAGATGGGGCACTGCGGAGAGACAGCATGGGGCACATCATGCTGGGGCTGGGGTGGCCGGGGATGCCCTTACATCCCCATCACTGCTGCTCTCTCTTGGGAGCAGCAACCAGGGCTGGTCCGGTTTGGGGATAGCAGGGGGGTCGCATCCCAAATCCCTCTTTCCCAGCTGGGCTTTCTGAGCTAGCTGCATGCCCCCGTGGCGCTGGTCCCCACTGACCATCCTGCGGTGCCCCGCAGGCTCCACCGGCTTCGTGAGCAACTTGCGCACCTTCCTGTGGGTGTGGGTGCAGCAGTTCACCAACCGGCAGGTACAGGTGCAGCTCTTCGCCCACCTGCATGGGCTGTCCCTGCGCTGGCACCTGGGGCGTCGCACCGGTGAGGTTCTGCGCAGCGTGGACCGGGGCACCAGCAGCATCAACAGCCTGCTCAGGTCAGAGCGTGCCCACAGCGGCTGGGGGGTGGCCGGGCAGCCCCACTGGGCCAGGCTGATGCGCCGTCCCCCTTCCCGCCCCACAGCTACATCGTCTTCAGCATCATCCCCACCATTGCGGACATCGTCATAGGCATCGTTTACTTCACCTCAGTCTTCAGTGCCTGGTTTGGCCTCATCATCTTCGTGTGTATGAGCCTCTACCTGAGTGAGTGGGGGGTCAGGGTGCAGGGGTGTCATGCCAGGCTGTGGGGCAGTGGGCGCCTGCCAACACAGCCCCCTCCTGCCCGCAGCTTTGACCATCTTCATCACTGAGTGGAGGACCAAGTACCGACGGGACATGAACACGCGGGACAATGAGGCCAAGTCCCGTGCTGTGGACTCGCTCCTCAATTTTGAGACGGTACCGTAGGCGGTGGGGGGTCGCTGAGCACTGCCTGGTGCTGAGGGGGCCAATCCGGGTGCTGACCCCGGCTCTGTGTCCTGCAGGTGAAGTACTACAATGCAGAGAACTACGAGGTGAACCGCTTTAACGATGCCATTGTCAAGTACCAGGTATGCTCAGCACCAGTGGGTGAGTTGGGGAGAAAGGAGCCAAGCCTCACGGGCACCTGCAGAGAGGATGGAGCTCACTGTGGGTCTGGTTTGGAGACGGCAGCATCCCAGAGGACCTTGCCTCTTCCAGGTCTCGGAGTGGAAGGTCAGTGCCTCACTGGGCCTCCTCAACCAGACCCAGAACCTGGTCATCGGCCTGGGGCTGCTCGCAGGGTCCCTGCTCTGTGCCTACTTTGTCACTGAAAACAAGCTGCAGGTAAGGCTGGTGCCAGCCTGGGCAGCCCCCTGCCTGAGGTGGGGCCCCGGGGCTGGTGGTGTTGGGCACCTCTCCCCTGTCCCTTCCAGGTGGGGGACTTTGTCCTCTTCGGTACCTACATCATCCAGCTCTACACGCCACTCAACTGGTTTGGGACTTACTACAGGTAACGCTGGGAGCTGTGGGGGTGTCTGAGGTCCCCCTCCCCGTGAGCGCCAGGGTCGGGATGTGCTCCCACAAACTCTTCCCCCTGGTCTTTGCCCCATTCCAGGATGATCCAGAACTCCTTCGTGGACATGGAGAACATGTTTGAGCTCTTCCATGAAGAGCAGGAGGTGGGTGCCACCTTCCTGGACCCCACTCCCTGGCATGGACCCGTGGTCCTGCCCTGGGAGGGGCTGGCTCTGAGGCCACGTCTCACCCTCCGGCAGGTGAAGGATGTGGTGAATGCCAGCGACCTGCGCTTGGAGGCCGGGCGGATCGAGTTTGAGAATGTGCACTTTAGCTACGTGGATGGGTATGGGGCGGCGGGCATGGGGTGGCAGGGTGGGACAAGTCAAGCTATGGGGCCTGGCACAGGGTCGTAGGGCAGCGGAGGTGGCCCTCAGCCCCTCTCCATCTCCCTCTCCCAGGAAGGAAATCCTGCAGGACGTCTCCTTCTCTGTGATGCCTGGGCAGACCTTGGCCCTGGTGAGAGTGGGACCTTGGGTGTGGGATGGGGGGAGAGGGGCTGGGAAGCACAGGGGTGAGAAGGACAGACCCCCAACGGGGCTGGCCCTTCCCTGCTCAGCCCCGGTGTCCAGCAGCAGGGAGTCTCTGGTGTCTTCAAGTCCCTTTACCTTTGCGTGCAGGTGGGACCTTCGGGCTCGGGGAAGAGCACCATCATCCGCCTACTCTTCCGCTTCTACGACGTGTGGGGCGGCTGCATCCGCATCGACGGGCAGGACATCTCCCAGGTGAGGGTGAGAGGCCGCCAGGGACTGGGGTACACACATACCAGCTACTCTGGGCTTCGCAGCACTGCTCAGTGCAGGCACTGGCATCTCCCCGGGGCAGGGGTGAGCACGGAGCCCCCACAGCCCCTTTGAAGGCCGATGTCTGTGCCAGGAGTGGAGTGAATGGCACGACTGTGGGACCCTTGGGCTGAAATGCTGGAGACGGGCCAGGGCTCCCCAGGAATGGCTGGGGCACTGGCAGGTTCCCCCACTGCAGGGTGGAGGTGCAGCTGAGCCTGTGGTCCAGGGGGGGACCCTGGAACACACACCCTGCCAGGAGTGGAGTGTGGGGCTCATGGCTGAGGGGTGGGATTGGGTCTTGGGAGGGTCTTTGCAGGGGGGGTGTGTCTGGCTGAGCTCTCCCCCCCACCTCCCCAGGTGAAGCAGGTATCGCTGCGTGCTCACATCGGAGTGGTGCCCCAGGACACGGTGCTCTTCAACGACACCATCGCCAACAACATCCGCTACGGACGGATCCTGGCCACTGACCAGGAGGTGCAGGAGGCAGCCCAGGCTGCTGACATCCACGACCGCATCTCTTCCTTCCCCGACGGTGAGACCCCCGCGGTCCCCTCCTTGCCACCCCCTGCTGTTCTGGGGTCCCCCATGACCTTGTAGCTGCCCCCACAGGTGTTCTTGGGTGACATCCCTCATGGGGACATCTGTGTGACCCTGTGCCTTGCTTTGCCTCTCCCTGCCATCTCGCCAGGGCTAAATCAGCCCCTGGGCAGGAATGGGCTGAGGCTGTGCTGGGCAGCTGCGTGGTCCCAGCAGGACCTCCCCATGCAGCAGAGCCCTGGTTCCCATCCCCATCTTGGAGGGCACCAGCGCAGCATGTTCCTGCCCTTGTGCCTGCAGGATACAACACCCAGGTGGGGGAGCGGGGGCTGAAGTTGAGTGGAGGGGAGAAGCAGCGCGTTGCCATCGCACGCACCATCCTGAAGGGTCCCCGCATCATCCTGCTGGATGAGGTAATGGCAGCAGCCCCCAGCCTAGCCTTGCCCCGCTCTGTAGCACCCCCTGCCCCAGCAGCTGCCTGTGCCGCCTGCATCCCTTCCTCATGCCCTGCCTCTCCCGCAGGCGACATCTGCACTCGACACAGAGACGGAAAGGAACATCCAAGCTTCCCTGGCCAAGGTCTGCACCCACCGCACCACCATCGTTGTTGCACATAGGTAGGGACAAGGGGAAAGGGCTGATCCGGGAGGTACTGAGCTCTCTGAGCTGGCCAGCCCCCCCCCAGAGGGGCACACAGACGTGTCCTCCTGCTCAGGAGGTGACAGCCCCTGTGCTTGTGGCTCCTTGCACAGTGCAAACCCCACCGGACCCTCTCCCCTCTGAGCCAGAGTAACACCCTGCCTTTCTCTGCAGGCTCTCCACCGTGGTAGGTGCAGACCAGATCCTGGTGCTCAAGGACGGGCGCATCGTGGAGCGAGGGAGGTGAGCACGGGGGGGCCGGCTTGGTGCTATCTGCCCGTGGGGACCCCCTCCCTAGCTCCGGGGCCAGCTGGGGACTCTGCACCCTCACACTCTCCCTGCAGGCACGAGGAGCTGCTGCAGAAGGGTGGTGTGTATGCCGGCATGTGGCTGCAGCAGCAGGCTGGGGAGGACGGTGAGAGCAAGGAGCGCTGCACCGAGAAGCCCCCAGGCAGCAAGAAGAGGCCGTGAGCATGGCCGGCAGCTCTACTGTGACACTGACACGGGCCCAGACCCCCAGGCTGCCAGAGAGCCCTTTGCCGGCTGCGGGCTGAGGCCGCACATGCCCTGGGAGCTGCAGGGGCTGGGTTGGACACTCCACTACGTTTGTATCCGTTTGTTTTGCTGTCGTGTAGTTTCTTAAACCAGGTCCTTCCCAGCTCTGTGCCTGTGTGCTTTGGGCAGGGTTTGTGCCTGCAGGACCCCCCCTCCGGGGGGCTGTGCTCTGGGCAGGGGCAGGCAGGGTTACTGCCGCTGCCTTTGGGTCAACTAACAGCTCTGCCATGCGGCTGGGCTCAGGTGGGTGAGGGCAGAGCGGGCTGTCAGCACCTGCCCCATCCCTGCACAAAGGGCTGAGCATGGCAGGGGGCTGCACTCCAAGGGCAAAAGAAGGAAGCAGCAGCACAGCTGGTGCCCGCTTTGCCCCCATGTGTCCCCCCCTTGCACCCCTATCTGCAGAGATGGACCGCTCCAGGCTGGACACCGAGTGAGTGCTCCCCCAGAGCACCTCTGCACCTTGTGCTATGCTTTTATTTTCTCCCAAGCAGCACTTTGACAAGTCTCAGCATTCCCTCAGCCCAGCCTGAACCCACCTCACACCCCAGGGAGGCACTGCCAGCAGAGAACCCCCCCTTGGCTGTATGCTGCTCGCAACAGGACAGGACAGCCCAGCCTGGCCCTGTGCAGAACGAGGCACAGCCCTGCAGGCAGGAGTGGTCCCCTGCAGGGAAGCTTGAGAGAGTGGGTGGGAAAGCAGCATCACTCTGCACAGCTGCAGAGACCACACTCCCCCCTGCAAGAGGCCAGCAGGACAACTCCCCCCCCCCACCCAGGGGTCAGGTCCTGCCTCCGAACACCAGCAAGGAAGGGCTGGCTCCAGGCTCAGGGCTGTTTGCAAGAAGGGGTTCTGCACTGCTTCTACCCAGGAGGGGATCCCCCACCCAGCACAGCGGGAAGGAGGGAGACGTTCCTGCCCCAGCACCATTAAAACTGGACCCTGGGATAGTTTAGGGCAGCAGAGAGCAGCCAGCAGCAGGAAGGCGGCTGCAGGCCTGCCGTGCGAGCGACGCTGGCAGTCAAGTCGCTACTGGGGTTACTTTTCAGTTAATGGCCCTTGTTAAATTAAACCAGAAAGGAAACACAGCTCCATTCAGTCTCAGAGAGGTCCTGGGCCCCAGCCGAGTTGGGTAAGGCCCAACGTGCTCTTGTGCATGCAAACAGCAGGGGAGGCACCAAGGGCATGGGGAGCGGGGAAGGGGCTGCCTTCATGCTGCTGGGAGGCCACACATTCAGCCGTGCCATGCCCATGCAAGAGACGGTCCCAGCCACAGTTGCTCTTTGCTGAGGGGCTGGCATGGCCCTCCCCAGAGCATGAAATCCAGCCCCCCACTACTGCAGCAGGCAGCCACATCCCAGCTGTACATCCAAGCACACAGAGATGTCCCCACATGGCACTTCCCTCCCGGCCAGCTCTGCCCTCACCCCACAGTCCAGAAGTGCTAGGAGATGGCCTCAGCAGCTGTGGCTAAGTGCATGCCATGGGCTGCTGCTTGCTTTGGTCAGTGTGCGATCAGCCTCGTCCCACACCGTCTTCACCTCTCCAGGAGCATCAGCAATCCGCTGCACCGATTTTATATGGGTACTAGGGCTGAGGTGTCAGTGTGAATTTGGTGGCTTGCTTACAGCCCCCAGGGAGATGAGTTGTCCCTGGCGAGGGGCTCTTGTCATCAGCATCCAGGCCAGAACCCCATGGCATCCACATGGGAGGCCAGAGCCGCTCCTCAGGTCACAAGCAGGATCCCACATCCGCAGGCACACCCTGCCTCACCTGCCTAAGACATGCTGCAGTTTGATGGCTTTGAACCGTGCGCCTGGAATGGGAAGAAGCACACAGTGAGCAAGGGAAGACGGGCTTCTTCCTCTGCCCCACAAGGGGGCACATCCAGTGCTCAAGTCCGCAGGGCTGTGTGTTCAGCAGTGACACTGCCACTGCCTCAGGCCAGGCTGCCCTCCTGGTGAGAAAAGTGACCCTAGACAGAGCCCAGAGGAAGCAGAACCCAGGGAGGACCCCTCCTTGACACAGCCAGGCCAGGATCAATCCCACCACGGCACAGAGCTTACAGCCAGCCTCACTCACCTGCCGCTGCGACTGCTGGTATTCGGCTTCACTCGCTGACAGTGCCTGGGCCAGTGCCAGATCCTCCTCCTCCTGCGTGCTGCTGGGGACAGTGGTACATTGTGTGCCTTGGCCTCCCCCAGGCTGACCAGCCCAGCACTCGGAGGCCTTCGGGGTGGCAGGATCTCCTGTCACTGCAACCCTCCAGGACAGCTAAGGGCAGGGAGCAACTGAGGATCACCCTGAACAGGCCAGGCGCTGGGGAGGGACCAGAGGATCCACCTAGGGCTGGCAGCCAGCACCCTGGTCCAAGGAGAACCATGTTAACACCAGTTTGTATGACAGTGCTTTTAGCAGCACCATGTGATGTGTCTGAGGACACCGGCTCCTGGGTGTCCTCTGTGAACACCCCTACTCCACCTCTGTCACGCTCTAGCCACACTCATTAGCTGACAAGTGGTCAGACAATGGTTTGTCCTACTCTGTGCTGTCACCGTCCCTTCCCAGCACCCTGGAGGGCTTGCTCGCTGAACAGAGCTCCCTGATGGCTCTGGACTCTTCCTTTTTTCCCGTCAGCCACACAGAGGCATCATTGGGAGCCACGTGCTGAGAGGAATGTCATCCCAGAGCCACATGATGCTGCCCCAGGCACCTCTCACACGCAGGCTTGGGGCATGACACCACATTTCCCCGGGCTGTACCTGGGTGGCTGCGCTGAGCTGCGTGCTGACTCTGCCAGGGACATCTCCAGAGCTCGCTGCAGTGCCTCTTCCTCGCTCTGAAACAAAACATCTCGTCACCAGCTTGGCCAGGGGTGGCAGGAGGCAGCCCTGAGGGACACGCGGCAGATACAGTCTTGCCTGGCCAAGGGTGGGTGCATCTCCCTTCTCCAAGGCCAAACTCAGCCAAGGTGAAGGCCTTGGGCTCAGGACAGACCTGCAGCTCTCTCTCCCTCTGCCCAAGGGACCGCAGTCCTGCCTGCCAGTGCAGGGGGCATGCTAAGAATACCAGTGTGAAGCAGGTTCCAGTCTCCTCCTCCACCCTTGGCTTGCAGAACAGAAAGACAACACCTGGGGAAAACAGCCAGCACACTTTGTCCTTTTGGGGAAAGCTGAGCACCAAGCACAGCTGAGAGCTGCCATTCGCAGGCACCGGAGCAAACTCTGATGCCCCACTGAGTGTCCAGGATCCCTGTTTGCAAGAGAAGGCCCAGGTGGGGAGCACCGCAGTCACCTACAGACCATGGCTTAAAAAAGCAGTTGCTGCAGTAGCTCCGGAGGGCCCAGGAACCACCCAAACCCACCCCAAATTCCCAGGCCAGGCCACTCACCAGCCCATTCTGCAGCATGACAGCTGGAGGGGAGGTGCTGGGAGTCTGCAACACAGCTGCTCTGCCTCCTCTGCAAACAGGAGAGAAGCTGGGTTATTGTCAAGGCAGGGAGCCCTGGTACAAGCACGCAGCCCTGCTGATGCATAAGAAGCAGGAAGCTCTTGCTCCTGCGTCCCACAGGGAGCCAAGCTGAGCCTGGTTGTGCCCACCTCAGAATTATGAGTCAAGCCATCACATTACCTGGCAGGGACTGGAGAAGAGGGGCTGTCTGCTGGCCGGGCAGCTCCACTGCTCGATGCAGTGACCGTTTTGGAGGAGGATGCCTGGGCTCTCGCAACTGCAGCATGCCTAGGACAGACAGGATGCCTGTGAGCGACTGTTTTACCATCACAAGCCATCCCTGGGCACTGAAGACCCAAGGAGACGAAGCTGGATAAGCAAGATGCCTCCCTGGCTCCCTGCTCCTCTTCCTCCCAAGAGTACCCATGTTGTGGCTCAGCTACACCCAAGCACTTCAAGAGCCATTTCTCTCCTCAAAACACTGTACCAGGATAGGCAGAAAGCACTGGCTACAGAATAAGGGACCGGGCAGAGAAGCAAGAACAAAACAGCCCACAGGCAGTACCGGCGGCTTTTGTTGCAGGAAGGAGAGACTATGTATACAGCTGTGCTGACTCTACAAACCCTAACGCTGCTGGAGGACACACCGGCACACAGGGCAGCGAATGTGAGAACACAGCAGTCCCAGACAATGGGCTGGGAGTTGCTCGGCTTCTTCCCTGTCACCTTTCTGACAAGCACAGCCCCATCCCTGCCAGCTGTCTGCCCCCAGGCCCTCACCCTGCTTTGGAGAGGGGACGCCCTGCCCCACTGCAGTCATGATCCAGGGGGTGCCGGTGCTTGAGGCAGTAGTTCTTGTGGCACTGGTCACAGATCACCTTCATCATCTCCTTCTGCTTGCAGCCAGGCTTCAAACACTTGTTGGTGAAGATCTGAAAGATGACGTGGTGGTGGTGAAAAGGAACACGCCCTGCAGGGCCGGGGCTGTCCCTTTCCTCCATGCCAGGCCCTGGGCACTGACCAGCTTTCCCCACCAATGCCTCTTCTGTGGGGCTCTGGAGTTTGTTTCTGAATACTAGTTTTCTTTAGATAGTTTATTAGTAATTCACTAGTTTTTCAGTCTCCACAGAACAAGGGTCTCCATGGTCACAGAATGCACAGCAGGAGAGAGACTGTTTCACCCAGGGACTCCTACCTGCCCTGCTAGGGTAGTGGGGACAGCCCAGAGCCCTCCAACTGCTGTTCAACTGGATTCCTACAGGGCCAGCTCCCTGCAGCAATTTTCTCTCCTGGCAAGATGGGGCAGCTAATTGCATTTTCCTAATGGCAGCATGCAGTTTCCCATCCTCACATCCCATGCGGCTGCCCAGCCCCACTCCATTGCTACCTCAGCCCCAGACTCACACCACAATGCCCTGCAGATGCACACACCTCCAGCTCACCAACCCTTCCAGCCCACAGCCTGTGCAAACAGAGACGGCCCCGGGCAGGGCCGAGTCGTGTGCTGTTTTCATCCCACCCCCAGCCTTCGGCAGGGACCCAGAGGAGCTCAGCAGGGCCGGGTTCCTACCTTGCGCTTGCGCTGTGCAGGGTCGGACTTGCAGTCACGGTCAATGTGCTCACCCACCACGACATCAGGCATCTCCCCCCGCCTCACGGGGACCGGGGTGTTGCAGAGGGGACACACGGGGACCTGCACATCCTGCAGAGACAAGAAAAGGGGGTTGGGGGCACATAGCTGGGCAACCCCAAGTGCTGTGGGGCCATCTCTCTCCCTTTGAGGATCTGCCTGCCACGGCTTCCACAGGGTTACCTGTGGTTTGAGAATTGGCTCACCACCCTCCAAACAGCTTGCTGTCTCCGACCCAGCAGGTGCGACAGGCACGGACACACACTCTGGGAAGGCGAGACAGTAGGGCTGGGAGATTCCTAAACCATTCCACCCAGTGGCAGAGGGCGGGCTGGAAGTTTGCAGCACTGAGATACAGATCCTGGCTTTCAGGAACACCTCCAGGCTCAGGGCACATCCCAAGGGGAATTGCCCAAGCCACCAAAGAAGTCACAAATTATTCTGATCCCCAGCTGGGAAAGCTCAGCAGCTCCGTGCGGGAGGCTGGCTTTGACCTCCTCTCTGGCTTACCTTCTTGTAGGCAGAGGTGCAGTTGTGCTGGGCGTAAGCGATGTGGTCGGTGCAGAAGATCTGCTCGCAGGCGTCGCACTTCAGGGGGAGGAAGTCTGGGAGTGGGGAGAGGCGGCGGGCAGAGCACCCCGAGGTCAGCGCTGCCCGCCTGCGGCCCGGGGGCCTCCCCGACTTCCCGAGGGCACAGCCCTGACCCTCGGCCAAGCCGGGGCCGCTCCTCTCTTCCCCCAGCTCCCGGCACGGAAACAAAAGGGCTGCAGGCCCAAAGCTACGTCTTCAGAAACCCCTGCGGCTCCTCCTCAGAACACGCCCCCGCCACCCCCCGGGTTCGGGAGTAGCATCCCGAAATCATCCCCACCTCCCCGGGGGCTGCTGGCCTCAAGCCAGAGCCGAGCGACGCCCTCGCATCCACCACGGGGTTCACCCACCCGGGATAACGGCTGCCGTGCTCCCCGGGAGGAGGCCGGGCCCCCGGAGAGGCCCCCTGGGCACACCGCCGTGTCC